AGTTGTATGAGCCCCTAATAAAATGTTAAAAAAAGAAATTAAAATGACATTTCTCTTTAGTCAGACATCCTACCCTTACTTGGGCACCATTTCTCTAGGTTTATCATATAGTTAGTAGAATGGCAGCAAAAAAAAGAAGATCTTCAGTCTTCTGACACGGACTGACACAGTCGGTGGCTACAACAATGAGCTCAAACATAACAATTGTGAGGATGGCTCAGGACCAGGCAATATTTTGTTCTGTTGTATACAGAATAGCTATGAGTTAGAACTGACTCACTGTGACACCTAAAAATAACAAAAATTGGACGGCCAATGAAGAACACTTTGTTCTAATAACCTGGCATTCTGTGAGGCTCACCTTTCCTACATGTAATCACTAAAGTCAAAATGAGTACATAAGCAAAGGTGGTGAAGAAAGCTGATGGTGACTGGCTATTAGGAGATACAGCATTTCGGGTTGTTTTTGGTTTTTGTTGTTGTTGCTTTGCGTTTTGGGTCTTAAAGGCTTGAAATTAAACAAGCAATCATTTAGCAGGGAAGCAACAAAGTCCACATGGAAGAAGCACACCAGCCTGTGTGATCATGAGATGTCAACAGGATCAGGTATCAGGCATCAGAAGACCCAAAACAAAGAATTATATTGATGTGAACAAGGGAGGTTGGAGTGGAGACCCAAAGCCCATTGTAGACAATTGGACATCCCCAATTGGACAACCCCAGAAGGGTCACAAGGAAGGAATGAGCCAGCCAGGGTTCAGTATAATATTGATTAAACACAGAACATTCCTCTATTTAAAAAATTCTTCCCCCGTCCACCACTATTATGACCCTATCTTATAAACCTGGCTAAAATGGAGCATGTACACTGGTACAGATAAGAGTTCTCAACACACAGAATCCAGGACAGATACACCCTTCAGGATCAATAATGGGAGTAGCGATATCATGAGGGTAGGGGGAAAGTTGGGGTAGAAGGGGTAGAGAGGGGGAACCAATCACAATGATCAATGTATTAACACAGGGGGATAAACAACAGAAACGTGAGTGAAGGGAGACAACAGATAGTGTAAGATATAAAAATAATAATAATTTATAATTTATCAAGGGTTCACGAGGATGGGAGGGTAGGGGAGGGAGGGAAAAAAGAGGAGCTAATATCAAGTAGAAAAAAATGTTTTGAAAATGATGATGGTAACATATGTACAAATGTGCTCGATACAATTGATGTATGGATTGTTATAAGAGCTGTAAGAG